GCTCGGCCCGGGGGAGCCGCGGGGTGGCCGGGGGGCTCTGGGCCTTGGGCTTGTGCCCGCTGGCCCCGCAGAATGACAGGCCCGCCACCTTTGGCTACATGGAGTTTGGAAAGATCGTTTCAAAACTTTCTTGCGATACTTGATTCTTCAGTTACCCCCCCCATAACTATGTAAAATCAGTTTTTCTTTTCCAATTTTATACAGATACAGCTGGTGTGGTTTGGTAGCGATTTAGATGTAGCGAGGCAAACATCTGAAAAGCAAAAACATGCGGATTAATGGGCAAGTAAAAATGATGAACAACTTCACAGTCTCAGATTCTAAAGACGGGTCAAAGTTTGTGGCCTGAAAATCTTTCAGGCTTTATTTAAAGCATCTCCTATATAAGATTTGGCAAAACTAGTACGTTTTTGCCAACAGCCATGAGTTTCTAAATGGTTTGGAATAGTGACTCATATGGAAACTTCATTTAAAAATAACGTTTTCTGACTTCTACAAAATCTTCAGCAGCATTAAAATGTTTTTTAAAATTTATTTTCCACATTCAGATGTGGAGGCAGGTAGAAGTCAGCTTGAACTGAAATGTGTGGAAACTGAAATCAACATTTTTCTTTTTGGAGTTGTTTATCATATATATTCTCAGTAGAGAACGATGGTGGTAATACCAGAAATAAGAGGGTTTTTTGATGCAAAACACTCAGTTGCACAGTTTCTGTCAACTTTTTTTTTAACCTCACATTTCTTCAATCTCATGATTGAGGTATTGTTTTTCAGTGGTCTAGCTGAGGGAAGAAGGGAGTTCTTTTGGCTGAGTAATACATTTGTAGAACAAAGGGGATTGAGCTACCTGTTAACCATTTTGCATTCTGTCGGTTTGGCCGTACATCAAAATTAATTTTGCAGCAAAGCCAAGAATCGTTATCTTCAGTGTAGTGGTGGCAAAGCTACGTTACTAAAAATACGTAAAGTCGCTTCAGGTCTTAATCTAGAATGTGTGAAGTTCAGGGAAAACCAGGTAGTGTCACAATGCTCAGATCCAGATCTGATTCATAGTTCTGTATCTTACTGCTTGTACTTGGTTCATAGGCCATGAAAATGCTCCTCTGCTGGATTCTGCTATAAATCAGTCTCAGCTAATGAAATTATAATTCTGACTCAGTTGTCACTCAGTTGATCTTCGAATGACAAAAATACGTTAGTTGTTTGCAATTTACGTCCCTGTGTTGACTCAAAATTACTTTGAAAGAGCATTATGCGTATTTCTGTAGTTCACTATTATGGTAACAGTCTTCCAATGTAAGGAAGGCTGCTGCAAAGAGAACTAAAATATTATGTGCTGGGATTGGGAAGTAGTAGTTGGCATAAACCGCAGCAAAAGGACTACAGGCATTGGGTAAACTGTATTCTAGGTCTTCCTTATGCCTACTTTTAGAGATTGCCTTAGCAAGGTTGGTGTTTCTGTCCCTGGAGATTATGGTTTGTCAGCAATGATACAGCCGTAGTTGATCTTGTTTTGGGACAGAAGAAATAGATGGGGTCTCTTGAGGTTACTACCAGCTCAGTTTTTTACTAGAATCTGAAATAGTGGCCTGGTTCATATTTTCCTCTCTTTAAATGATTCAAGGGGACTGAAGTATTCCAATAGAGTCACACAATGGTGAAGGCCTGTTTATGAATGCCCAGTTCAGGACAAGTGCCATCTGTAATGTTTAAGCCATGCTACAAATGTAGAAATGAACTAGGGACAAGTGAAAGTTTAGCTCTGGTATTTTTAATTTCTTTTTGGCTTTAAAAAAAAAAAACAAACCAACCAACAGAAAAAACAGTAAACTGAGTAAGAATGGTAGAACCTAAGGGATCTTTAGTATACAATGTTAGCAATGCTCTGATATTTTAATTGTATTGCTTTGTACAGTTACTTGTATGGATTTGTTAATTTTTCAGGTTTTACACAGAAGTGTCATCAGGAATTCAGCTCTGTACCTTGTTTTGGCAGGCATCAGTGTCACTTTTTTTTTTTTATTACTCCTTATTTTATTTACTTATTTCTCCAAAACAGAAGTCAAAGATCTGCTTTGCTTAAAATTTTAGATGGCTTTCCTCCTACGTCTTTTAAATACCCCTTTTGCCTGTTACAGCATCCTGCCAAAATTGAGGATGTTCATTCATTTTAGAAAAGTATACGTTTTTTTATTTTGCTGTGAAATGTTAAGCTTCTTATTTGTTAATCATTGTACCATACATCATACTCTGTAACACCTGCGTGTACGTACATCATACTCTGTAAAAAAAAAAAACCAAAAAAACAGTCCTCAGTCCTCAAAATCTGCCTACTAATGCATGCATTTGCATGTATTCACAGAATGTGCATGTACTCGTGTTATCACTAGATCTTGAATAATTCAATTTCAGTATTCTGGTATTTTGTTTCTTAAGATTCTCACATGTTTCTTAAGATTCTCACATGCTCACAATAGGAACTAGTCCTCTGTTTCTTCAAGCTACACGTTTATGGTTACACCAAATGATAAGGAGTTTAAGTTCTGTTTCTGGGAACTTCTTAAAATGTTCCTTCTTAAAATGTCCCATGAGACTTTTCACAAGTTACTTAGGCTCTTTGCCTGAAGTTCCCCATCTAGAAACAATCTTAACAGGTATGGGTTTGGACTCCCTTTACAAACATAGCCAGTGTATTACTGTGCTAATTTCTTAGGACTTTGCATTCTGTGAATGGAATGTATTGTTTTCTGAGATACTGAAAGAATTTGGGGGGTTGTTGGCTTTTTGGGGGCAATGCATATATGAGCATTTCTAATTAGGTAGTAAGTGTAAAGAAGAATTGATGAATAACATGTATTAATGGAAGACCGAAGTAAAGAGTGTCG